TCTGGGCCCGACCTGGGCGGGGGCTTCAAAGGCGCGGGAGGCGCCTTCCTCCGGATGCTCGGCGCCGAACTGGATGGCCCCGCGCTGAGGCCTACAACCGGCCGCGGAGGTGGGCCTGCCATGGCCGGCGAGCCTGCCGAAGGCCACGGCTCCGAGGCCGTCGCCGCTGCTGCCCGCTGCCGCTGCTCGCGGGGCTGGTAGGCGACGATGGCAGGCCCGGCGTCGCCGCGGCCGTCGGACGCCCCGCCGCCGACGCCGCCGCTGCCCAAGCCGCCGAAGGGTTGACCGTCTCGGAGCTCAGCGCGGACTCGAGCTCCACCGGATCGTCGGAGTTGCCCGCCGCCTTGGCCAGCGCAGCCTGGCGTCTCGCCAGACAATCCTCGGTCGCCTGCAGCGCATCGGGGTCGTCCTTGCCGGCCTGCGCCGTCGCGACGACGGCGGCCATCGCGGGCGCTCGAGGCCCCGCCGTGACTCCGACGCCCAGAAGACCCCCGAACGACTGGCAGAAACCAAAAAAAAATACGAGAAAGACGGAGCCTGAAACCGAAGCTTGAGCCCGGGCGCGCCACTGGCCAGCACGACGCGATGGCTCGACAGACGAAGGCCCGGACTTCATTCGGAAACCGTGCTCGGTTAGTCGCCTTAGCTGTCTTCCAAGAACCCAAGGCCCCAACGTTCGCTAATCGGGCGCCCTGAACCCGCGCCTCTCGATGCACCCGCGCCTGCTGCCCTGGGCGTCGGCGATCTCCGGGAATCGACCGTCGCACCTGGGGGTGCGGCTGATCGCCTGGGGGTACTCGCCTATCCTTTCATGGGCGACGTCGATTTTCCTGACCGGGTCGTAGACTCTCACGTTGTCGCTGGGACCCTTATAAAAATCAGCCCGCTGATCCAAAGACTCCTCCGACGCCTCGACCCCGCCTTCCCCCGGCGGCGACGCTGGCCCTGACGAGGCGGGGAGGGGGCGCGCGCAACGGGGCAGCGCCGTAATCCGACGCGACGGGCAGGCGACCCCCGCTCAAGCGAGACGAATCTGAATACCGAAAAAGAAAGCGTCAAGATCCCGCCGCGGGCACGGCGGCCTCTCCCACCTAGAGGACGAGTCTACCACCCGATGGCCCGACCCCGGCCTCGCGAAGCTGATAGCCTGGCCGAGTGCGTCCGAACTGGGGAGATTACTTGGCGGGCCAATCGCGCGCGCCAGAAACTCCAAGGGCTCGACGCCCACGCTAAATATGAGGAGCGGCATCGGCCAGCACAGTCGCCTCGATTACCCCGAAGACCCCGCTAAAGCACAAAGGAAACCGGATGGCGCTCGCGACTCTGGCATCTGCCCCCGCGCCGTGGGCGGACTTCTTGAGCCGCCGGTCGAATCTCCGCGCGTTCGAGGTCGTGCTCCGCCAGGGCCTGTGACTCATGGTTCTTGGAGGCCCACCAGAACAATGCCTGCTCCGGGATCGCCACAGGCCCCGGGTCGCCTTCGCGACAATCAGCGAAGACCCCCGAGGCCCCGAAACTCGCCCCGACGCCCTCGAACACGCAACCCTCGAACATGTAGGATGACATCCGCTGTCGGACAGGCGGCATCTTCCTCGCCATCTCGCGACATATCTCCTTGGCGGGGGTCGGGCGCTCGTTCTTCCAGCGGCCCTTCTTTCCGTGCCCCTGGCGCCCTGGGGCCTTCGCCAACTGCTCGGGCGAAAGCCTAAACCAGCGGGGGCGCCGGTCGCCAGGTCGCGCGCCGGCCCGAGGGGGGCCCGAGCCGAAAGGCTCGGCTGTCCTGGGGCCACGGGCGCCCGAGTCTCGCCGAGGGCGGGTTCCGTCGCATTCTCGGCCCCTCTCGGCCACGCGCGCGACTTCCGATCGGATCTCAGGAAGGCTGCCCAGGCGCGCGCCCGCTGTGCCAGGACCTCGTCGGTCTGATCCTCGCAGGGGCCCTTTCCTTCGATCACCGCCAGCAGGGCGTCCGCGTCTGAGTCCTCGCCCTTCTCTGCCTCTGGTCCGTCGTAGTCGCGGGCGCCTTCGTCTGGCCCAACCTGGACATTCGCCCGCCGACGACCGACCGGGGGCCCGATGGGGGGGGGGGGGCGAGCGGCGCCGTCACTAGCGGGGCCTAGGCCCTGGAGCCAGCATGGAACTTGCCACCGCCCCCCCCGGGGGCAGACGCTCGGGGCCTCCAGCGCGCATCGCCATCAGCGCCAAGGGCGCGCAGTGGCAGCCCGACTTGCCTCGCGGGAGAGAGCCTAAATGCAGCGCCCCTCGCGGGGTCTGGCCCGCGCCTCCGTCGAGCAGAAGGCCTTCAGTTTCTCGGAAATCCAATCGTCATCCCCTTCGGCCCCCAGTAGCTGAGCTTCTCTGCACGTCGCGAACTGGGGGGGGCTCTCCGTGGAGTCGCGAAAACACTCGGAAAAAGGTCCCCCGACCCGATATCCTCAGGTCGTTTCCTCCTCTTCCTCCAACCATCACGTCCATTCGGCCCAGCGCGGTCTCGGCCCAGTCATCCCTAGCGAGGGGCCGCGCGGGCAGGTCCTCGAACTTCGACTGGGAACTCCGAGCGAAGGACTTCAAGCACTTCCCCGACCTGCGACGCACGGACACGTCCGTATCATTGCTCCACCGCCTCAACGCTGTCAACCATGATCGATAGTGGGCGCAGCCAGGCCACGCGGGCGGTTCACGGTTATCGCCGCGGCCGGCGTGGCCGCCGCCGCCGCCATAGTCCCAGCCCTCGCCCCAGCTGCCACCCGGGCCCCAGGCGTCTCGCGCCTGGGCCCAGCCGTCACGCCAGCTCCACTTCCCCGCTGCCTCTGGCGTCTTGGGAACGTTTGCCGCGTCACGAGGACTGGCTGGCAGCGGCCTCCGCCTGCTGACCCTCGCTTCAGGGGTCGGTGATATCCCGTCCGTCTGTCGGCGGTCTTGCTGCATCCGTCTGCGAAGATGGTGCGGCTGACCTCGCAGTGTCGGACGCGATTCCCTTGATCAGTTCGGCAAGCTCGCCGCTCGACATGCCAATGGTGGCGATGGCCCCGCTGCTGGCTGCAGCGGTCGCTCAGCCCACGCCACTCATCGCGGCGTGCGTTGCCCCCTTGCCGTCCTCGGTCTTGTCGGCACCGTCGGAAAGCATCTTCCGCCGTGGATCCCTAACTACCTAGCTCGAGGGAGCGCGATGCTCATCCAAGTTCTCGAGCGCCTGGCTGTGGGTGGCCGCCCAGCTGATCATGCCAACTACCGAGGCCAGCCGCCGCGAATGGCCGCTGGCGAAGCCCCGCTGCCCTACCAACAGAGGCAGCAGGAGAGAAGACACATGTTTTACCCGTGACCCACTCCTGGTACCGAACATCCACTCAGGGCCTGGACTAAACACGCAATGCCGAACATGGCACTTTTGCCTCGATACGACCTGCTAAACGTAAAAGGAAAAAACTGGAAGCCTGCTACACCCTGCGCTTCACATGCAAGGCAGACTCGATGGGGCTTAGATCTGGAGGAGCGCCAGCAACCAGGTGAACCCCACAGGGGAGTCAGATAACCCAGAATCGGTTGACCCCTTGGGGGTGATTATCAGGTTCACTGGTCGTTACATTGGCTTAGCTAATCAGCAAAGCAAGTCTAAAGCACAGCTTCCTTGGTCACAGGCGAATGTACAATGTGTCGATGTGTCCATTGATAAATGAAAACGCTTAACTCGCTGTAACGCTTCTTCGGCTTAACGTTTTTGAGTTGGTCAACGATGTTGATCTAAACGTTTGGCGTGCTCGTCCAAGACCACTGTGTCGCTCGCGAATTAAATCAAAATAAGCACGTCTGGCACGACATTCAAACGTTTCAGACACCGGAACGAAACAATGTGAATAACGAAACGCCGGTTTAGAGCATTGTGACATATGCGATGTGCTGCTCACGACTCCCAACATGATTTCATACAGCTTAATGCAGAGTCTGCAACGCTAGGAAGCCCTATGTTACGTTTTCGGTGGTAGCGTATGCGTGTAAGCGTGCTGCCTGTAGCTCTGGAAACGCACGTGTGTGAGTGATCATGTATGTGATCGATATATGAGATTGGCACAACGGGGAGCATGTGTGTTCCTATGTTGGTGTTGGAGTCCGAATATGTCGGATATGTTTGGGGAGGTGTGATTGCATGCGTGGTTCAACTTAGTAGGGTTAATGCCACTCCGGTGCTGCTGGAGTCCGAATGTGCTGGCCACTTCCGGAAGATGGATTATCCGATGTTGCTGTCAGAGACTAAATGTGCCGCGTCAGTTTGGAAACGTGTCTGTTTTTTTTTGTGAAGCGTGTTAGTCCGAGCGGTGTGGGACACCTGGACATCTCCATACATGTGCGCAGGAGGGACGGTAAGGCGATCGCGTCTTCCTCGTGCGGAGACCGGAGGTCGAAGCAGCCCTTTCCTCATACAGAGACTCGGTGGGTCGGAGTAACCCTATATTTGCTGACGAAGAGAACGCGGTGCTGTAACAGTGCGGACACGGTGACGTCGATGTACGGGGCGGGGGCAAAGCGCCGGGTGTGATTTCTCACATTCTTTCACCTCTCAGTTGTTTCTGTTGCCTCGATACTTTGAATTTATTCAGCTCTCCTATCTACGAGACCAACGGCATCTCATTCTGCGCCACGAGGAAGGGCGTGGCGAAGCGCACCCACTTGCCGTCGCGTGTCCGCCCCCCTCCCTTGCTCACTTCTTTCCGCATCCCCCTCCAACCCCGCATCAGCGTCCGCATCCGCCTCCTCCCCCTCTTCTTGATCCTCCTGTGTCTGATTAATATCTTCCTCCTCTTCCTCCTGTGTCTGAGAATCCTCTCCTCCTGCTCCCTCCCCTTCCCCTTCCCCGCTACCCCCCCCATTCCAGATCCCCCATTTCCCTCACCCTCCGCCTCAACCCCTGCTTCTTCCCCTTCCTCTCCTCGTCGTCCTCCTCACGCAGCTCACACTGCCGTTTCTCCATGCTCGCGTCCACTCAAAACCACCGAACTCCCCAAGGCCTGCATCGGGAACGCGTCGACATGCGGACAATCGTCTGGAGACTCCACTCTCGAACCCGCCTCCCTGGCTGAGCGGCCGGGGCGAGCATGTGAGGAGGCCAAAGCTCAGAAACCAGAAATAAGAGCAGTCAACATCAAACTAAAAAGTCAAATCAAATCAAAATGTACATCAAATCAGGCTGCACCGGCACGGAGTCTGAATCGACTCGGATCGTCCGGGCCAAGCTGCACAACCACGCCATGCGAGCATCGGGCTGGCATCGGATCGTAGGAACATCGGAGTCGAATCGGATACGGGCCAGCCGAAATCGACATTGAATCGACGGGATCGAAATGGACCCTGGGGGGAAGAGCGATACGACACGCGGAACTGGCATGTGAGAGCGAGGTGGGGAGAGAGAGAGGGGCGAGAGGGGTAGGACAAGTGCGCTTGCGCCTCACATGACGTCCTACCACTCCTGCCCGTTTCCAACTGCGTCGAACAATCAATTCGCCTAAACGCGTGTCGAATCGGCCCTTGACCCCGAAACGGAACAGGCACGCACGCGCGCACACACACACCCACACACACATGCACACACACACACGCGCGCAATCATATACACTCTCTCTCACACAAATCCCATACACACATACACACACACTCACACACACACACACATTCACGCACACGCACAAACATACACACACGCACACGCACACGCACACACACACACATACACACACACACACACACACGCACACGCACACGCACTTGCACACGCACACACACACATTCACAACCCCACATACACACACCACGCAACACACGACACACACACACACACACCACACACAACACACATCACGCACCACTCTCACACACCACACACACCACACACCACACAAACCACACACACCACACACACCACACACACACAACACACACCACACTCCACACACACACACACACACACACACACACACACACACACACACACACACACACACACACGCCCGCACACACCCACACCACACATACACACGCACACGCACACGCACACGCACACGCACTTGCACACGCACTTGCACACGCACTCGCACACGCACACGTACACGCACACGCACAACATACGCACACGCACACGCTCACGCAAACACACACGCACGCGGACGCGCACACGCACGCGCAAGCGCACCCGCGCGCGCACACGCTAAAGCAAGCGCAAGGCATCAAAGAATCCGGGGTGGGACCCTCACAGAACTACCGTTCCCACAATCTGTTACCGCGACTGAAACAAGAAGGGACAACCATATGTGATGCCCAACAGCAAAGGTTGCCCAGAACCGACGGCGGCAGCTGTTGGCCAGGCGACTGCATGTCTGAAGTGGACTTGGGGATCTACTGACCCGAGTCAATCCAGACCCGGGCCAGTCAGGCTCTCCAGGATCCAGCAGCATCCTGCTGGATCCTGCAGGACCCTGCACCCAAGCCTGGGTCAATGCACCCCTGGCTCTGAGGGATCCTGCTGGCGCTCTGGCTGACCCCCGTTTGCATTGACCCCCGTCCCTAGAGCCCCGACGGATAACGTCCGCCGCAACACCGAAGGAAGGGATGCTGGCCGTCGCCCCTCATTTCTGCCCGCGCGAACCTCGATCTTACCAGAGATATGCACCACCGATTCGAGGAGAGAGGATACGATATGCACACCATTCACGCCATGCTGTCTGATTGCCCATTCAGTGATGTGCCCACTGGCGCTTGCAGATACATGCAGCAGCGGGCTCTGCGTATTCCACAACACTAACTTAGTGGCGCGGTGACCCTCTGGCTTTAGGAGGGAGGTGCATCTGCCATGTCCTACGCACCAGGGCCGAGGACGAGAGAAAGGAGGAGGGATTTCGGGAGCGGCCAAGAGGGGGGTGTCCAAGCGGAAGGGGTGCAAATCATGACCGGCGGCATGTGTGCTGCCCAGCGGGGGGGCCGGGGACGTAATGGAATAAGAAGAGGCGCCACGAAATCTGGGGAGATCTCATGGCCCCCGCCATGATATCCACCCCCCCTAGTCATCACCCCCCTCTTTGCCGCCCCCGAGGATTGAAGGAGAAGCCCACAGGCCTGGGGGGCTGGCGGAAGAGCTGCCTGGAGGCCTCGCTGCTTAGGCAGCACGAGCCTCTGCAGGCCCTCGAGCTCCTTCGCAGGACGACTCGCTGCTCCCCTGTCGCTGCTCATCCGCCTCGTCCGGCACCTCCTCCACCTCCTCCTCCTCCTCCACCTCCTCCTCAACCTCCTCCTCCTCCTCCTCCTCCTCCTCCTCCTCCTCCTCCTCCTCCTCCTCCTCCTCAACCTCCTCCTCAACCTCCTCCTCAAGCTCATCCCCCTCCTCCCCTTCCCCCTCCTCCCCCTCCCCGTCAAGCCCCTCGTCGGGCTCTCTCCTCTCGCCATCCTGCCCCCCTTCGTCCACATCCTCCCTATCGTCCTCTCTCTCTCCCCTCCCCCATGCTTTCTCTTCCTCGTGCTCATTACCTCCCAGCCCGTTCTGAGACCAGCTCGCGTCCCCTTCGGCGGGGCCCCGGACTGCGCGTCCGAGCACCGCGGCCGTCGCCGCCGACGTGCCCGTCGCCGCAGTCGCCGCAGTCGCCGTCGCCGCCGCCCCGTCGCCGCTGCTGGCGCCGCCGCCGTCGCCGCCGCCGCCGTAGCCATCGACACCATCGCCGTCGGCGCCGTCGTCCACGTGGCTGTCACCTAGGCCGTGGCCGTCCGTCGGGGCCGTCGGGGCCATCGGGGCCGTCGCCGTCGGCGCCGTCGTCGCCGTGCTTGTCACCTGGGCCGTGGCCGTCCGCCGGGGCCGTCGGGGCCATCGGGGCCGTCGCCGCGTCGGTGGCATGCCATAGCCAGCGGCGGAGCCTTCGTGACACGCCCGACCTGCTCCTCGGCGTCCACGACGGCGGCCTCGCACGCCGCGCGCGCGGCGTCCTCGGCCGAGATGAGGCCCAGCAGTTCCTCGCGTTGCGCGCGGACGCGCGTGCGGAGGTGGCCAAATCAGCTGTGACCTCCGAAGCCCCGCTGGTCGTCGCCGCCGTCGTCGCCGTTGTCGTCACTGGTGCCGCCACCGTCGCCGTCGTTTCCGTCGCCGCCGCCAGTGCCATCGTCGCGGTCCTCCTCTTCCTCGTGTTCCCCCGCTGCCGTCTGTGGCTGAAACCCGTCTGGCGGTCAAATTCATGCCTCGCCGGCCTCCGTTTGTATATGCAATCCGGTTGTGCATACACGTGTCCGTTAAGATTAACATGTTAGCTCCAACCCGCAGCCAAACAGTTTACCCAATAACCCAAGCCTGCGTGTGGTGTAAAGACTTCTCGTGGGCGTGTCGATGAAACGATCTTTGTCGCGAAACCCATCACGGGCGCGCGTGCACAAGGTGATTCGCGTCGGAAACTCTATCGCGGGCGGCACGAACCATGCACAAAACTCACTTGCCAAGGGAGCCCCGCAACGCCAAGTATGTGAGAAACTTGCACCAAACAGTGTCCAAACCTTGCTGCTGACGACGACAGCATGGCAGCGCCAACAAGTTCGTCGCCGAAGTGGCGGTACTGTGCCACCACGCATGGCGCGACAGGCGCTCGATGCATGACCAACACGGCCTTCGGGTTCCCAAGGCCTTCGAATACCTTCTCATGCAGACCCCCCCCGCGCGGTGGTCACGTACCGTAGCGGCGTGATCGCATATGCGACGTCGTTCGACGTTCGCCGCTCGCTATTCGTAGCCGTTTCGCTCGTCGTCCGTTGTTCAGTGTCGTCTTGGTCGCCGTGTGGGGCTCGTCGTTCGCCGTTCGTCGTCTTGTCAGTTGTTCGGTTGTGGTTGTTCGTTGTTTGGTGGATGCGGCGTGCGTCAGCTTCCCCCTTAAAATTGGACTGCGCGTGGGCAGATGCGAGGAGGGAGCTGACTTTCGGGCGCAGCCGAGGCAGGGTGGGGGGGCAGGGACACGAGCATCGCGCAGTGCGCACGCGCGCACGACATCAAGAAGCACTTTTGTTTATGTCTCTCTCTCTCTCTCTTCTCTCTCGCTCTCTCTCTCTCTCTCTGATTAGTTCCTTCTCTCTCTATGTCTCTCTCTCTCTCTGTGTATCTCTCTCTCTCTCGCTTTCTCTCTCTCTCTCTCTCTTTTTTTCTCTCTCTCTCTCTCTCCTGAGGGTATCTCGACCCCGATCCCAGGCTTCGTCGGGGGGGTTTCGAATGAACCAGAGATTCGAGGCCCGATCCTGGGATATACAATGGGGAAGCTGCCATCCTCGATAGGGGTGCATCCGAATAAGTAGCCCCCCTGGGTACATTCCAGGGCCCCCCTCCTTTGCTCAGAGACCAAGCTTTTCGGGCGCAACTCGGGGGCAAGGGGAGAGAAATCGCCTGAGTGTGTTGTTCGTTGTTTTGTTTCTCTCTCTCTCTCTCTCTTTCGCTCTCTCGTCTCTCTCTCGTTCTCTCTCTCTTTTTCTTTATTTCTCTCTCTCTCTCTCTTTCTCTCTCTCCCTCTCTGCCTCCCCACCCCCAGGATGCGCAAGGATGCGCAACAAGGATGCCAGGGCCTTGGAAGGCCGTTTCGGAGCTTTCCGAGCGGTTCGCGGCCAACGAAAATGGCCAGGGGTGGACCGAGGAGGCACGGATGCGAGGGCACCCCTGAGAAAGTTGCTCATCCTTGCCGTGCGGGTTGGCTGTGCCTTTCGCAAGTGAACTTTTTTTTCTTTAAAACAGCCGCAGGCGGAGGCGCCGACGGCGAGCGGTCACGGTCGGGCTGCGGCCGCGACTAAATTCCCGGGCGCGCGCGGGGGCCGCGGATCAGCCTTTCGCATGTGAACGCTCAGCTTCCGAAAACACTACGCCACGCGGTGCGCGGCCCCACTTCGCGCTCCTCTTTGTGCTTCTCGCGCGCCGGCCGCCCCCCCGGGGGAACAATGGCGGGCTGTGCTCCGGGGGACGCGTCGCGACGCGCGGGGGGGCGCGACCGGCGTCGTGCCTCACGAGTGACTACCATTAGGACGGGCACGTCCGTCTACTCGCGGGCTGTGGAAGAAAAAACGACAATCGAAAACATGTTCGGAAATAGTCAACCATCTACACATCGTCCTCAGATATGCTTTCGACTATTTCTGGATACTCCGCTTCTGTAGAGGGGCATGCCCGACTTAAGACGACCTACCAGACCACCCCAGCCTAACCCGATGATCCACATTTCGGATTTGCGGGGGTGGGGGGTAGGGGTTCCGCATGTGCTTCTGCAACCTTCCCCAATGCCCCCCACCCCTGGGAATGGAGGGCACATCAGGGCCTGCGGGTTGGGTTGGGGTGGTTTGGTCGATGGTGATTGACTGGGCATCGCTCGGACGTCCATTCCCTGTGTTTTTTTTCGGTTTCGTGCGTGGTTTTTCAGCAAAATGATCAAGGAAGCTCCTCGACGGCCCTCGCCGAAGGAACAAAAAGCACACGTCCGAGCGATGCCAAGCTGAGGGGCAGCGACCTGCTGCGAGCAGTCCCAGATGGCTCAACTTCGTGCATGGCGCTGCACGGCGCCCAACTCCGTACTGGGGCGCCGCGCGGGGCGAGACCCGCGAGGGGAGCTTCGCGCCCTCGCACCGCCCCCGCGAGGGAAGGGCGGCCGCTCCAGGCCCAGACCGCGGCGCACGAAGCGCCATCGCCGTCGCACCCCGAGAGGTGGCCTAGAGAGGGAGGAGGCGGAAAAGGAGGAGGAAGAGGAGGAGGAGGCGGAGCAGGAGGAGGAGGAGGAGGAGGAGGAGGAGGAGGAGGACAAGGAGGAGGACGGGGACTCGAAGGCCATCGAAGGGCTGCACGAGTCGGCATGGTGGAGACGGGCCCATAGCTCCATCGCAAGCAAGGCGGCGCAGTGGCCCGAGAGCCATACCCACGAGCCAGGACCTCTCGTGATGGCCTTGCGAGGGGCGACCAGCTACAGCGGCCCGAGGCCACTCGGACATCATCAGCGACAGCAATAGCAGAGGAAGGCGTCAAGACTGACACCACGAAGAGGCGGGAACTTGCCATCGCTCGGACGTCCATTCCCCGTACATTTGTCGGGCTCGTGCGTGCTTCGCAATGATGGCCCAAAATGAACCTCGTGGTCCTCGCCGAGAAAACATACACACGTCCGAGCGATGCCAAGGGGACGAGGCAAATAGCATGTGCCGCACCGGTCTCCTCTATCTTCGCGGCGACACCGCCCGTGCTCTCCTCCTGGCAGCGGGCTGGCGTGGGCATAGGGCAGGACGTTGGGAGAAAAGAGCAGGAGGAGAGGGCGGAAGGGGTCAGCCAGACAGAGGACGAGGAGGAAGAGGAGGAGGAGGCGGAGGAGGGCACAGTGTATCAGAAGAGGAGGAGGCGGAAGAAGAGACAGCGGAGCAGGCCAGCCTGAAATGGGAGAAGCAATAAGGGGATTGGCAGCAGGAGGGCCACGCAAACGCCTCGGGATCGAGGCCTTCCCTCTCGCAGGGCTCGCCGGGCACGCCCGCTGCATCGAGCGCAGCGCCCGCTCGCGCACTCAACTGCAGGGGCCCTGGGACACACAAATAGATGCACACAGATCACAGGATCCCCGATTTTTGTTCCCCTTATTTTCTGGGGTTTTGTCCTCCCCCCCACTTCCCATATTTTGCCATATGTTCTGGGGAATCGACGATTCATTATGTCTTAGATGCTCATTCTGGGGACCTTCCTGAAGCCACTCGCTCCACTCGTGCGTCGAAGCTGCGCCGAACCTGAGTCGATCCCGAGTCGAACCTGAGTCGAACCTGAGTCGGATCTGAGTCGCACCTGAGTCGAACCTGAGTCGAACCTGAGTCGAACAGATCCATTATCGGGGGCGGCAAAAAGGGGGGTGTCCAAGAGGGGGGGGTGCAAATCATGACCGGCGGCATGTGCGCGGCCCCGCGGGGGGGCCAGGGACGTAACCGCATAATGAAATAAGAAGAGGCGCCATGAGATCTGGGGAAATATCATGGCCCACGCCATGATATCCACCCCCCCTAGTCATCACCCCCCTCTTTTCCGCCCCCGACATTAGGTGGGCCCCAGGAAGGCCCCCAAAACGAGCATCGAATAACTATGTCTGTGTGCTTCTTTCCCCTCCGGAGCAGCGCGCGCTGGGACGGCCGCGCGCACGACCCGCACCGCCCGAGAGCCTCGGGGCGGCCGGGCGGCCGAGCCGAGCGGGGCTCGGGCCCGGGCCCGAGCTGCCGCCTCGGCCCAGGCCCTGTTGAGAGGGCAGAGGGTTAGGGATGGTCACGGAGCCGCACCCTGGCCCAGAGCCCCCGAAAGTCCCGAAGCGAGGCCAGGCTCGGCGGTGGACAGACCTCCCACTGGCGAGGCTCAACTGGTGAGGCGAGGACAAGAAGAGTTCTCCTGGCGAGGCTCCACTGCTGGAACGCACCCTGAGACCGGAAAGCCGCTGACTACCTACGAAAGCGCTCGAAAACCTCAGACACCTCGCCTCCGAAAGTTGGTGCGTCTCCGTCTTTTTCTCGGGCGGATGGCAAGGTTATGTCGGGCGTGTCCCCCTACAGAGGGATTTCCGATGAAAAACAAAAAAAAAAAACCCAAAAAACCCAAAAAGGTCAAAACAGATTCAACAGATAGTCCCCAGGCTAGTTTTGGACTATCGTTTGAATATGTTCGGGGTACTTGTTATTTTTCCTCGAAGATCCCCCTGTAGGGGGACACGCCCGACTTAATGGCAAGGGGGGATGACCCAGCTGGTGGGTGGAGCAAAGAGGGCCCCAGATGGGGACCCCTTTGGAAGCCAGCGGGTGCCCCGAAGGGGAGCTAGACTTGAGGGCTTCGTTGGGGCCCTTTCTCTTCACCCCCCGTGTAGGAAGGGGCCCAAGGACACACGAATAAATACCCACCAATACAAGGATCCCCCACAGCTTCCCATATTTTCTGGGTGTTCGTCTTCCCCCCCCACTTCCCATAGTTTCCCATATTTTCCTGGGGACCGACGATTAATTGTGTCTGTGTGTTTTTTCCCCTCCTGACCCATGTAGGTCACCCCCAATCGGCGGTGGACAAACCTCCCGTTCGTAAACCTCCCCTCAGTGAAAACGGCCTGGAGCCGAAACCGACGGACCCGGACCCGCAGAAAAATGACGGCCGCGAGACGCCCTCTCGCGAACCGGAAACGGCCAATTCCTTCATCGACGTGTCAGGGTAAGAGGTCTGTCCACCCCCGGCCTAATTTCGGGAGCGGCCAAGAGGGGGGTGTCCAAGAGGGGGGGTGCAAATCATGTCCGGCGGCACGTGCGCGGCCCAGCGGGGGGGCCGGGGACATAATGAAATAAGAGGAGGCGCCATGAACTCTGGGGAAACATCATGCCCCCCGCCAGGATATCCCCCCCCCTAGTCATCACCCCCTCTTTTCCGCCCCCCCCAATTTCGGGTCGGGCGAAAGGGGGGGATAGCAAAGGAGGCGGTTGAGAATCAGCTCACGCAGCTGATCTTCCCGGCGCCTCCCGGCGCTGGAGGCGGCTATGCATCGAGGAATGGGCCCATCGGTGAGGTCGAAACCAGCTGCATGCAGCCGATTTCGTAACCCCCCCTTTCCCAATCCCCCCCTTTCGTCCGGCCCCGACAAAGAGAGGAAGGGAGGGAGGAGGGGGAGGAGGGGGAGGAGGAGCAGGAGGAGGAGGAGCAGGAGGGGGAGGAGGCGGAGAAGGAGGAGGAGAAGGAGGGGGAGGAGGAGGCAGAGGAGGAGGAGGAGGAGGAAGAGGCGGAGGAGGAGGAGGAGGAGGAGGAGGAGGAGTACACCAGTGTGGTCTCCAGTGATCGTCCGGCCCCGACCCAATTGCCACCCGCCCGAGCTGCCAGCGCCTCCGCCCCGCCCGGGGGAGGCCCGGACAACAAAAAGCGGCAGGCGCAAGGGGCACGAAGAGGGGCGGGGCAGGCGAGGGCCACGGGCCGGCCCCTCTGGCCTCGAGGGCGCAAGAAGAGAGCCCACGGCCCGCAGGCCGCGTGCGACCATCGGGGATGGACGGGCCCCCTCTTTCGTAAAACGTGGTTTCGTGAAAACGTGGCTTAGTAAAACGTGGTTCGCTTTCGCCTCGACCCCCTGGATTCGAGCCCCTTGACCCTCACAGATCGATCAGGCCCGAACGAGGCCGCACAAAGATGGGGCCCCGGGCTCTGGTCGTGATGTGGTGCGACGTTCAATGTGTTGCTGCAGCGCTGGGGGGGTCAGAAGAGAAAGAAGGTTCGCTTTCGTCTCTTGGGTTTTCTAGGCTGGCTTTGTCACCGAGGCTGGACTCGCTTCGAGATTGCTGGTCGGAACGCTCCTCGGGAGCGCTCTGAAGAATCTATAGAGAAGCAAACAACGGCATAAACATAAACTTCGGCGGTGGACAAACCTCCCTTTAACAAACCTCCCCTGAGTGAAAGCGGCCTGGGACCAAAACCGACGGACCTGGACCCGCAGAAATGGCGGCCGCGACGCCCTCTCGCGAATCGGAAACGGCCAATTCCTCAATCGACGTGTCAGGGTAAGAGGTCGATCCACCTCCGAAACAACGGCATAAACATAAACTTTGGACGGTCCGCCCGGATTTCTTGGATGTGCGCCGGACCCCCCTTTCGGGGATGGGCAGACCCCCCTTTAGTAAAACGTTGTTTAGTGAAAACGACCCGAGGCCCAAACCTGGCGGGCGCAGGCCTGGAAAATAGCGGCCACGGCGCCCTCTCTAGAACCGAAAACGGGCAATTCACGAATCGACGTGTCACTGTTGGGGGTTCTGTCCACCCCCGAAACAAAAACTTGAAGCTGGGCGAGGGCGGGCAAATCTGTGGCTGCCAAAACGCGGTCTTCCCGGAAGAAGAAAACTAACAAATTCCCGGAATCGAGTTCGGCGCACTAATAATGTAGTGAACGGGCTGCTTCCCAGAAGAGAAAAAACAATTTCCTGGAGCTCCGTTTTAGCAGCCACGGTCGGGGATCTTCTGACCCGGGTCAATCCAGACCCGGGTCAGCAGGAAACCAAAAACTGCAATGCAAGACTACAAAAACTGAAACGCAGGTCTTCGCAAACCCGGGTCGGCCAATATAGGCGCGGCCGCCTCGCGGCCGGGAGCGGCTCGCCGACCCGGGTCACCCGGAGGGGGTCTTCGCAGGATCCTGCAGGATCCGGTGCCCTGGCTGACCCCCGTTTGCATTGACCCCCGTCTCAAGGCTCCCACAGTAGTCCTGCCTACGACTGGTCCCCGGGCGCGGGGCCGGAGCTGTGCTGCAGGAGGAGGAGGAGGAGGAGAATAAGGAGGAGAATAAGGAGGAGGAGGAGGAGGAGGAGGAGGAGGAGGAGGAGGAGGAGGAGGAGGAGGAGGAGGGGGAGGGGGAGGGGGAGGGGGAGGGGGAGACTCCCGACGCGGGCTTGCCAGCCGTCGCCCGGCTTCTGAAACAAAAAACCGTCGCTCTGCTGTTCCCTCGCCGGCGGCGGGGGCAGAGGTGCTGCGCCGGCGAGCGGCGGGAGTCCGAGGAGGAGCGGTCCGCGGGTGGGCCGGCGTGCAAAGGAGAGGGAGGAAGGGGGACGGGGCGGCCGCGGAGGACGGGAGGAGGAGGAGGAGCAGGAGGAGGAGGAGGAGGAGGAGGAGGAGGAGGCGGAGGAGGAGGAGGGGGAGGAGGAGGAGGAGGAGGAGGAGGAGGAGGAGGAGGAGGAGGAGGAGGGGGAGGAGGAGGAGGGCAGTCAGACGCCATCTAACGAAAAGAGTCAGACGCCATCCAACGGAGGAGGAGGAGGAGGAGGAGAAGGAGGGGCATCGATCTTACACATGGGGGAACAAGAAAGCACCCTCAGCGTTTTTCCCTGGCTCGCCTTGCCCGAGGGGGCTGTCCTTACCTGGTTAGTGGTTGGTGCCTCGGACTCTTGCGCTGCCCGTTGCTCTGAGGTTCCCTGGGCTCACTGGCTTCCTCGCCCTCGGTGCCTCCGATGCTCACGCTGCTCGTTGCTCGGAGATGCCCTGGGCTCCTCGGGTTCCCCGGATTCCTCGCCCCTTGTGTCTCCTAGTGCTACGTTGCCCGTTCTTCGGAGACTGCTCGAGTTCCCAAGATTCCTCGGGTCCCCAAAGTGCGGTCCCGCGGGGTTCATTGCATCATCGACCCCAGTTGGGAGGGCCGGAAGTCCCCGAAGTCTCGACTCCTTCCCCAGGGCCGGCTACTCATCCCGAAACGTCTGCTGACAGTCCTGATAGGCCCGTGGGGGCCTCCTGGGGGCCGAAGACTGCCCGAGAAGCTCCCGTCGTGATTCTGGCACAGCGCGAGCATGTCTGAGGCCTGGGATACAGTAGGAGCTCGACCGCAAGGAACCTTCCACAAGAAACCAAACCCTGAGACCCTTTTTAGAACGTCCACTGATTTTGGGCGTGGGAGCGCCACGCTGTCCATAGCGAAACCATCGAAACCCAAGAGATCCCAGGCACCCTGGGGGCTAGCAGGGTGTTTCTTGGCATGAGCTTCCACTGTAGATGGGGTTCGAGTAGATGGGGTCAGAGGATCGCGCCGCATCGCCGATGCATCGTCGACCGTCGTCGCCGTGGAGAAGGTCGGGCTCCACGACGAGCCGCATCGCCGCATCGACGATGCGGCGCGATCCTCCGACCCCGTCCAGCCACACCTGGACCCATCTGGGAGGCCTGGAGTGCTCAGGCCTGGGAGGCCTGCAGCGAGAACGACCCCCTCCTCCTCCTCCTCCTCCTCCCTCCTCCTCCTCCTCCTCCTCCTCCTCTTCCTCCTCCTCCTCCTCCTCCCCCTCCCCCTCCTACTCCTCCTACTCCTCCTCCCTCCAGGGGAACTCCGGGCGGGGCTCCTGCTGCTGGATCGCGCTGCGCAGGCGGGCGCCCTCCGCCTCCACCGCCGCCATCTCCGCCTCGCGCCGCTGGCGGCTCCACTGTAGCCGCTCGGCCAGCTCGTCTGCCTCCCGGAGACGGGGGCGGGGCCGGCCCCGAGATCCCGGCGCCGAGTTCTTCTCACAGCAGGCGGTGTTGCCTGGATTCGAGCCCCTGGACCCTCACAGATCGATCAGGCCCGAACGAGGCCGCACAAAGATGGGGCCCAGGGCTCTGGTCGTGATGTGGTGCGACGGTCAATGTGTTGCTGCAGCGCTGGGGGGGTCAGAAGAGAAAGAAGGTTCGCTTTCGTCTCTTGGGTTTTCTAGGCTGGCTTGGTCACCGAGGCTGGACTCGCTTCGAGATTGCTGGTCGGAACGCTCCTCGGGAGCGCTCTGAAGAATATATAGAGAAACAAACAACGGCATAAACATAAAGTTCGGCGGTGGACAAACCTCCCTTTAACAAACCTCCCCTTAGTGAAAACGGCCTGGGACCGAAACCGACGGACCTGGACCCGCAGAAATGGCGGCCGCGACGCCCCCTCGCGAACCGAAAACGGCCAATTCCTCAATCGACGTGTCAGGGTAAGAGGTTTATCCACCTCCGAAACAACGGCATAAACATAAACTTTGGACGGTCCGCACGGATTTCTTGGATGTGCAATGGACCCCTTTTCGGGGATGGACGGACTCCCCTTTAGTAAAACGTGGTTAATGGACACGACCCGAGGCCCAAACCTGGCAGGCGCAAGCCTGGAAAATGAAGGCCACGGCGCCCTCTCGAGAACCGAAAACGAATAACTCACGAATATATTACACACGCACACACACGCACAACGCACGCACACACACACACACACACACACACACGCACACACACACACACACACACACACACACACACACACACACACACACACACACGCGCGCGCACGCGCACGCGCACGCGCACGCGCACGCGCACGCGCGCACGCGCACGCGCACGCACGCACGCACACGCACACGCACACGCGCACGCGCACGCGCGCACGCGCGCACGCGCACGCGCACGCGCACGCGCACGCGCACGCGCACGCGCACGCGCACGCGCACGCGCACGCGCACGCGCACGCGCACGCACGCGCACGCGCACGCGCACGCGCACGCGCACGCGCACGCGCACGCGCACGCACACGCGCACACGCGCACACGCGCACACGCGCACACGCGCACACGCGCGCACGCGCACACGCGCACACGCGCACACGCGCACACGCGCACACGCGCACACGCGCACACGCGCACACGCGCACACGCGCACACGCGCACACGCGCACACGCGCACACGCGCACACGCGCACACGCGCACACGCGCACACGCGCACACGCGCACACGCGCACACGCGCACACGCGCACACGCGCACACGCGCACACGCGCACACGCGCACACGCGCACACGCGCACACGCGCGCACGCGCACACGCGCACACGCGCACGCGCACACGCGCACACGCGCACGCGCACACGCGCACACTCGCACACGAGCACACGCGCACACGCGGCGCACACGCGGCGCACACGCGGCACACACGCGGCGCACACGCGGCGCACACGCGCACACGCGCACACGCGCACACGCGCACACGCGCACACGCGCACGCGCGCACACGCGCACACGCGCACACGCGCACACGCGCACACGCGCACACGCGCACACGCGCACGCGCGCACACGCGCACACGCGCACACGCGCACACGCGCACACGCGCGCACACGCGCACACGCGCACACGCGCACACGCGCACACGCGCACACGCGCACACGCGCACACGCGCACACGCACACACGCACACACGCACACACGCACGCATAGACACACGCACACGCACACGCATAAAACACAAAACACACCCCGCCCTGTGGCTCCACACACCCCGCCCCCCGCGGCCCCCCGCCGCCCCCCCCCCCCCCTTCCCCCCGGAGCACGCCTCGGCGCGCAGCGCCCTCTCTGTGGCGAAGTGCCGCTCCAGCTGGCGCCAGGGGGGGGGGGAGGGGGGCAAGCGCTCGGCAGGGAGGGGGGGGAGTGGAGGGGGGGGAGGGAGGGGGAGGGGGGGGTGGAGGGAGGGGGGAAGGGAGGGGGGGGGGGGGGGAGGGAGGGGGATGGGGGAGGGAGGGAGGGGAGGGAGGGGGAGGGATTGGGGAGGGAGGGGGGGAGGGAGGGAAGGGAGGGTAGGGGGGGAGGACAAGCTAGGCGCGCTCGGGTCATATCTGACGTGCTACCCCTCCCTCGCATCCCTTACCATGGCGTGAATTTCCTTCCTATTCGCACAGTCGGATATCGTAGCATGGCATAGCAGTCCATGGCATAGCATGGTGTTGACAATCAACGCGTAGCATGAGGTAGCATGGCGTGGCAACGCCCCAAAGTGGGGGGGGCTTCTGCGGCCCAGAAAATCAACGAATCGGCAATGAATGTGGAATCACTTTCGATGGTTTTTGCGGGAGGCCATTTTCTAGATTTTGGGACCTGTGTGGAAGGACCGACCATGCCGTGGCATGGCGCTGGAACTAGTTAGTGACGCAAGCGCTGAAGCTGGAGCACGATTCGGGAAGAGCGGAAGCGCGGAGATGAGACCAGCGGTACACACGGGGCGCGATTCGGAGCAAACGGACGCACGGAAATAACGCCAGCGCTGCCGCGGGAGCACGATGCGGAACGAGCGGAAGCGCGAAAATGAAACCAGCGCTCCAGCGGGAGCAACATTTTGAAACAAAAAACCCAGCGAACACCCAATTCCCAGGAATCCTGTGTAACAAAAAACCGTACGCGGAGAGGGGGGGTCGGATATCTTCGGGGCGTCATCTGGAGAGAGAGGAGAGCAGTATTCATATGTTGTAATTGTGGAGGAGGGGCGGAGGAGGAGGAGGAGGAATGGAATGGAATGCCCTCGGAAGGGGGAGTGCACAGCACTAAAGCTGCGCGCCGCCGCGGCCGGCGGGCGCCCGCGCGCGGGCGCGCGGCCGGCCGCGGGGCGCTCACGGCGCGGGTGGTTTTGGACCCCTCTGGCACCAAGAGGGGCCCTTCACCCCCCACTCGGGTCACCCTGCATTGCCACCCGCCCGAGGGCCGAAAGCTGATGCTGGTGCCGTTCTTGGTTCCTCGGTCTTCGGGGACCAGCACTTCTGGGGCGACGCCGAGTCCTTCCTCCCTCCCCCCTCCTCCCTCCTCCCCCCCCCCCGCTTTTGGTCTTTCCCCCTGCCGTCGCTCGGGCGCCCCTCCCCCCTCTGCATGCTTTGGCCTCGGGCCCCCCGCCCTGCTCTTCCTGCCGGCGCTCGGACGTCCATTTTTCCCCGCGCGTTGTTCGATTTCGTGCGTGTTTTGTTTGTTGCTCGCGATGGTCCAGGATGGTCCTCGTGGTGGTTCTCGCCGAGATGAAACATGCGCACGTCCGAGCGCTGCCAAGTCTCCGCCCAGGCAGGGGCCCCAGAGGGCCCCATGGAGGCAATCCTGAGCTAGCAGCGGGCGGTCGCGAGGGCCCCGACCCGCTCCAGAGCTCGACACTGCCAGCCGGAGAAGCGTGCCCCGAGCCAAGGAGGCCTCCTGCGGCGGCGGGGGGGGGTCCCCTGCCGTCGCTCGGACGTCCGTCCCGCCGTGCCTGGTTCGGCGTCGTGCGCCTCATCCCTCCTCCCTCCTCCCTCCTCCCTCCTCCTCCCTCCTCCTCCCTCCTCCTCCCTCCAAGATGCTTCCAGATGGTCTGGACGTTCTGGCGCTGGCCTCGGCAAAAAAAGTGCAGAGTCCGAGCGATGCCAAGATCCATGAAACTGAATGAACTGCACACTGCACGTCCTCAACTATCACGCGATTCAAAGAGTCGCCCGGCGAACCGGGAACAACCCACGAGCCCATCTACGATAGGCAATTTCATGATGTGAACCGTGGCCTGAGAAGTAGCGAGTGCGCGAGAAGTAATGAATTGCTGCCCTCCCCCGGGAGTGGCTCGGTCGGCAAACGTAGACCGACGGGGTTCGTGGCGTCCGGACGGTGGGGAGGCGCCTCCCCCCTCCCGAGCAATCCACGGCTGCTCCCGCTCCCCCTCCGCGCCAGCTCGAGCGAAACTTCTTCATGGGTCGATCCCGCTCCCGCGGGATTCCTCCGTGGCGAAGTGCTGCTCCAGGTGGCGCGGATTGGGGGGGAGGACAGGCGACGCTCAAGAGAGGGGCAAAACCGGGAAGCCTGTGCCGCTGATGGAGCAAGCACAACAGCGAGCCTCTTACTGCAAGAACTGCGTGGGGAACGAAAACGTCTGCTTCCCTTATGCTGTTCCCATCGTGCGTCAGGACCACATGACAAAAAATATTTCGAGCACCCAGGAAGGTACCGAAAGAGCAGCTACCCGACACGCTGGCGAAGTGTCGAACGACGGTCCCCTCCCAGGGCCCGACACGCGGAAACCGTCAAGTTTCGGTACCTCCCTGGTGCTCGAACATCATCATCCTTCCCTCCATCGTCCCGCCTCCATCTCCCTTCCCTCCATCGTCCCGCCTCCGTCTCCCTGCCTCGTCCCACCTCCTTCCCGCCGCTCAGCCACTCTTCTGTGGCAACTCATGGGAGCCTCCAGTACCGTCTTGCCAGCTCCTGCGACTCGACGCTGACCGACGCTGCTCGGCGCTGAATCGACGCACAATCGAAGCTACATCGACGATAGTTCGACGCTGACCGAAGCTACATCGGCGCTACCTCATCGACTCTAGACGCTCATCTACACGAATCGAAGCTAAAGACGGAATCAAGAGGATATACCAGCGTGTGTGTGTTGTGTGTTGTGTGCTGTGTGTTGTGGCCGTGGGCTGTGGGTTGTGTGCTATGTGTTGTGGGTTGTGGGTGTTGTGTTATGTGTTGTGTGCTGTGGGTTGTGGGCTGTGGGTTGTGGACTGTGTTGGGTGTTGGGGGGTGTGGGCCCTGTGTTATGTGCTGTGTGTTGTATAGTGAGGATTGTCTGTTGTGTGTTGTGGTGAGCGTGTGTGGAAGTCATTGTGTGTGCGTGTGGTGTGTTGTGTATGTTGCGTGTGTTGTGTGTGTTGCGCCTGGTGTGTAAATTGTGTGTTGTGTTGTGTGTTGTGTGTTGTGTGAGTTGTGTGTGTTGTGTGTTGCGTGGTGTGTGTGTGTGTTGTATGTGTTGTATGTTGTGTGGTGTGTGTGTGTTGTGTGTGTGGGTGTTGTGGGTGTGTGTGTGTGTTGTGTGTGTGGGTGTGTGTGTGTGTTGGTGTGAATGTGTGTGGGTGTTTGTGTGTGTGTGTGCGTGTACGTGCGTGTGCGTGTGTGTGCGTGCGTGTGCGTGCGTGTACGTGCGTGTGCGTGCGTGTGCGTGCGTTTGCGTGCGTGCGTGCGTGCGTGCGTGCGTGCGTGCGTGTGCGCGTGCGAGCGTGCGAGCGTGCGTGCGTGCGTTCCTGCGTGCGTGCGTGCGTGCGCGTGCGCGTGCGGATGAGGATGAGGATGAGGATGAGGGTGATGATGATAATGATGCTGCTGGTGATGATGATGTTGATGATGATGGTGATCATGATCGTGATGTTGATGTTGATGGTAGTGATGCTGATACTGTTGCTGTTGATGATGGTGATGTTGGCGATGATGATGATGATGATAACGACGATGATAATGATGATGATGATGATGATGATGATGATGATGATGATGATCATGATGATGATGATGATGATGAGGAGGAGGAGGAGGAGGAGGAGGAGGACCCTTGGCCGCCCCCGACAAACCAAGTCCTCGCCAAGCATCTGGGCACCGCTCCCTTAAGGCTTGACGACTTTTCGTCCATCGTCTTTTGGGACCAGGCCGGACAAACCAAGGTAAACCGAGACGAACGAAGAAGAACATATCCAGGCACATCTGGGAAAACCCGGGCAGATCCTGGCAAATCCAAAGATTTCCCGGAAAACTGTTCGGTGGCAACTTATGGGAGCCTTGCACACCATCTGGACGGCGTTTACGAATCGACACTTCGACGCTAAATGGACGCTAATCGACGCTACATCGACGCTAATCGACGCTAGCCGGCGCTATACCGGCGCTATCTCATCGACTCCCACACACTAGTCGACGCGAATCGACACTTAAGAGGGTATACCAGGCTTCCATGATTTGCAACCAAAAAACTTTGAGCACATCGTGCCAGGACGGCAGCAGTCGAGAAGCCTTCATCAAACTGCCGGCGTGGCGCGCCCGCGCGGACGGACGGAAGAGGCCGGCCGCGCGAAAGCGGGGACGCGGTCCTGCTGCCGCAGGATTGCGTTGTCGCGCTCCAGGCCGTCGACCAGCACCGCGGCCCCAGAGCTGGCGAGGGCGCGCGGATTCTTCCCAATGGGGGGAGCTTCAAGCGCATCTTCCCTGCACTGCTCCTCCCCCATCCCTGCTTCTCCCTCCCTCCCTCCCTGCTGCCTAGACTCTTCATCCTTCTCCTTCTCCTCCTCCTCCTCCGCCTCATCCTCCTCATCCTCCTCCTTTCCCTCCCAAGCACAAATCCTCCTCCTCATCCTCCTCCTACTCCTTTTCCTCCTCCTCCTCTTCCTTTCCTCCTCCTCCTCCTCCTCCTCCTCCTCCTCTTCCTCCTCCCCTGCGAAGCGGGGATGTATCCGTGACCGCCGCCTGGGGGATCGACGGTGACCTCGGCAGGCGGCAGTCGTGGATAGACTCGGGCCCTGCGGAAGCCAAATACATCTACCTCCACCGCCTGCCGCGGCCCCCAAACGATCGATCCCCAGGAGATGGCTACGGGTATCTGCCACCGTGCCTGCGCGGAGTGGGCGTGAGGCCTGCAGACGGCCAACATGGCCTCTCAGACGGCTTTCACGACAGCCAAGACGATACCAAAACGGCTCAAGATGTCTCAAGACAGCTCGAGAGCCTTTCACGACAGACTCAAGACGGCTCAAGAAGCACTCAAGACGGCCCAAGAGGGCTCCAACAGGCCCCAGAGACAGCCCAAGAAGCTCCAAAGCCTTCCTGGAGAGCCCGAGGGGGCCAAAACCACTTAGTTTCCGTGGGTCGTTGAAGGATTTTGAGGCTCTCACCTGTTCGGGTTTCCGACCGCCCAGGACGGCCCAAGAGGCTTCCAAGAGTCTTCCAAGATAGCTCCAAGGCAGCCCAGGAGGGCCTCAAGGGGGCCCCAAGTCGGACCTGGAGGACCCAAAGATCGCCCAAGAGGCTCACAAGAGGGCCCCAAGAAGGCATTGAAGCACTCGAAATGAGCAACAAGACCGCCCAGAGAGGCCTCTAGGGCTGCCTTGGGCGATCGGAAACCCGAACACGCCAGAACCTCAGGGTCCGCCCAACACCTAAGGAAACTCGGTGGCGTTGGCCTATTCGGGCTCTCCTGGAGAGCCTCTTGGAGACATCGTGGGCCGTCCTGGGGGCCTCGTGATCCGTCTGGATGCCTTCTTGGGAGCATCATGGCCTCCAGAGGACGGTTCTCAAGACAGCCAAGATGGCACAAAGATGGCCCAAGACGGTCCAAGAGGCTCCCAAGACAGCCTCAAGACAGATCAAGAAGCCCCAAAGGCGGCCCAAGAGGGCTCCCAGAGGCCTTCCTGGAGAGCCCGAGGGGGGCGCAACCATTGTTTGTGCCCTTGTGTGGTTGACAGATGGTGAGGTTTTCGCCTGCTCGGGTTTCCAACCGCCCGAGACGGCCCAAGAAGCATGCAAGAGGCCTCTGATATAGCTCCAAGACATCCCAAACTATCCCCCATAGGGCCTCGAGCCGCCCCAGAAGAGTACACGAATCGCCCAAGGAGGCCCCAAGACGGCGGTAAACCGCTCCACGAGGGCACCAGCACGGCTTGGAGAGCTTACAGGGCAGTTTTTAATACCTTTATATATATATATATATGAATATATATATATATATATATATAATATATATATTTAAAAAAATTGGAAAAAAATGATCAATGTAGGGATCAACTTATGCATGGACCCATCGTTGTTTTTCATACAAAGTCCCTTCAGGAGCCGAACCCCCCCCTCCGCTGGGTTGCAGGAGGGGGGGGGGATTCGAACCCCGGGGGGGGGGGCCCTGTCCAAGGGGGGTAGGGGGTTCGAATCGAGGGAGGGGGGGGGGATTTGCAGGGGGGGGGCGGAGGTTCGCTCCCTCCCTCCCCCCCCGAGCGGGTCTGGCCGTCGCGGGTGGGTCGCATCGGGCGGGCGGGGAATGAAAACAGCATGGAGCACACTATGGTGCAGCGCCCCGTTGGCAGGCGAGGGCCCCAACCCCAACCAGAGGAGGAAGAACTAACTGCACATACACCGACTCTGGCCAGGCCCCTCCTGAGCCCGGGATCGGTGCATACACCCTGCGAAATGCTTAAGAAATCATGGGTTAAGAAATTCATAGTCTCAGAAAGTGAATAAAACCCAGAACTTCAATCAAAACCTTGGGATTTACATTGAAGCGTTAAGAATAATCGAGACTCTGGCCGAAAACTTAGGTTTTCTTAAGCATCGCCTAAGGTGTACGCCCCCCTACCTGCCTTGGCCAGGAAGGCGTGTGCACCGCTCCTGGGCCAAGGATGGGCCTGGCCAGGATCGGTGCGTGTGCACAGTTCTCTCCGCCCGACCACCGGCCAGGCCTGCACGAGCGGGCCCAGCCCTCCGGGGCGGGCCCGGTCGGGCGTGCAGATCGCCCGGCTGTCGCGCGGGAGCCCCCACGGCCCGGCCCGGTCGAGCGGGCAGGGCCCGCACTCGGGAGCGGCCAAGAGGGGCGTGTCCACAAGGGCTCCCAGCTTCGCGCTTCGCGCCGCGCGAAGCGCGAAGTGCGAATAACTTCGCGCTCTCGCGCCGCCTCCCAAGGGAGAAGGGGAGGATGAGGAGGAATCGGAGCCGAACCGCGAAGCGCGAAGCGCGAATAACTTCGCGCCCTCGAGGGCGCCCTTGGTCCAAGAGGGGGGGGTGCACATCACGACCGGAGGCATGTGCGCGGCCCAGGGAGGGGGGCCAGGGACGTACAGTCGGACCTCGGCCAGAAGAACATCCCTGAAGAACACGAGACCCTCCGCCGGCCAGAACACACCGAGCATCCAGGGGTAGCCTCCCCAGGATGCACGAGAGCATCCAAGAAACACGAAGAACACTAGGATACCCTCCCCGAACCGACCTGGATCTTATACCTCGGTCTGACCGTGATGAAGCAAGAAGAGCCGCCACGAACTCTGGGGAAACATCATGGCCCACGCCATGCTGTCCACCCCCCCCTAAGCATCTCCCCCCTCTTTGCCGCCCCCGACTCACGGGCGGGTCGGGTGGGGCGGCCGGAGCCGCACAGTAGGACGCGGAGTCTTCGGCGGTGGACAGGCCTCCCTTTAGTAAACCTCCCCTTAGTGAAAACGGCCTGGGCCTTAGTGAAAACAAGCAAAATCGCACTCTCCTGAGTGGGGCGGGATTTTCGCCGATGAGCGGGCGATTAGACTTGGACGCCCGAACTGGGTACGGAAAAAATGGGTACGATGCCCAACAACAACTGTTGTCCCGAACCAACAGCGGCCGCTGTTGGGCAGGCGGCCTTCTGTCTCAACTAGACACAGGCCGCGGCGGCGTGGACAGCGAGCACTGTTCAAAATGAACAGGATCCGCTGTTGGGCATTGCACCCATTCTTTCCGTACCCATTTCGGGCGTCCAAACATACAGTATGTGGCATCGTCCAGCTGGCACGCGAGAGCCCCAACGGCCAAGCCTGGTCGAGCGGGCCGGGCTCTCAATGGCGGGTCGGGTCGGGCGGGACAAGAAAACTCGGCGGTGGACAAACCTCCCTTTCGTACACCTCCTCTTAGCAGAAACGGCCCGGGACCGTAACCGACGGGCCTGGGCCCGCAAGAATGACGGCCGCGACGCCCTCTCGCGAACCGAACACGGCCAATTCCTTGATCGACGTGTCAGGGTAGGAGGCCCTGTCCACCCCCCGAAATAAGCAATGGAGTAGCGTACACCCTGCGAGATGCTTGAGAAATCGTGGGTTGAGAAATTCAGAGTCTCAGAACTTGAATGAAAAACCCAGCATTCCTATGAAAATCTTGGGATTTACACTGAAGCGTTAAGCATCATCTAGGCTCTGTCCGAAAACTTAGGTCTTCTTAAGCATCGCCTAGAGTGTACGCTGCATCGGCCCGTTGCCACGCAGGAGGTCTGTCCACCCCCGAAAGAAGCTATGGAGTATCGGGAGACTCTTCATGGGGGGGGATCCCATGGGGGGATGGGATCCCAGGGGGGGGATCCCATAGGATCCCCTGGGGATCCCATGGGGGGGCAGGAGGGGATCCCATGGGGGGATCCCCTCCTGCCCCCCCCATGGGACCCCCCCCCCCTGGAGAGTCTCCCGAGGGTGGCGTACGCTGCGTCGGCCGGTTGCCACGCAGGAGAGGCCCAAAACGGCCGGGCCTCGGCGAGCGGGCAGGGGGCGCCCCTCGCGGGCATAGGTCGGGCCGCGCGGGCGGAACGTTGGAAAGAGATCGGGAGACTCTCCATGGGGGGGGGGGATCCCATGGGGGGGGCAGGAGGGGATCCCCCCCATCCCCCCCCCCCATGGGATCCCCAGGGGATCCTCTGGGATCCCCCCCCCCCTGGGATCCTATCCCCCCATGGGATCCCCCCCCCATGACGAGTCTCCCCGGGGATCTACTGGGTCGATCCCCCCAGTCATGACGAGTCTCCCGAAATAGATCGGGGATCTACTGACCAAGGTCGATCCAGACCCAGGTCAGTCAGGCCTTGCAGGAGCTTGCGGGATCCTGCAGGATCGTGCCGGATCCTGCACCCAAGCCAGGGACAGTGCGACCCTGGCTCTGCAGGATCCTGCAAGGTCCGGCGCTCTGACTGACCTCCGTTTGCATTGACCCCCCTCTCTGAGGAGTCCCGGATGGACAATATGCTGCAGCGTCTGGCTGTCACGCGAGAGACCCCATGCCTGGCACTTTTCGAGCGGGCCGGGCCCTCAAGGCCGGTTCGGGTCGGTCGGGCGGGACATTCAAGTATTGAGTTCAGTACGCTTCATCCTCCGGCTGGCACGCGAGGGCTCCAACGCGAGAGATCCGAGGAGGACGACGACGACAGCGGCGTCGTCGTCGCCGTCGTCGCCGTCGTCGCCGTCGTCGCCGTCGTCGTCGTCGCTGTCGTCGTTGTCGTCGTCGGCGGCGGCAGCGGCGTCGCAGTGGTCGTCGTCGTCGTCGTCGCCCGTCTGCGCCGGCGCCGGCGCCATCGCTCGCCGTCGTCGCGTGCAGGAGGAGCGAGGGTGGATCGAACCCACTCCCCCCTTGAGAGGCGGGCCCCCCCCTGGTTCGAGCTCAGCTCCTACAGTTAGGCAGGTCCTCTCCTACAGGCAGGTCTGGGAAGAAGAATTGAAAAAAAAAAAAAAAGATCAAGTATCCGTCAGTGGTCCAGAGAGCACGACAGATCGTCCCCAGATCTTTTTTGTACCATCCCTGAACAGTCCTCCTGTCGAGGGACATGCCCGACTGAATCCTACTCTTGAGTGGGGGGGGGCCCTCTCCGACTTCGAACCCCCCCCCGATTCAGGGCCCTCAGGGCCCACCCCTCTGTTCGAACCTCCCCTCTGCAATTCAGGACACTCCCTCCCCGTCTTCGATATAGAATATCCCCGATTCGAGTATCCCCTCCCCTGTCTTCGATATCGAGTATAGCGAGAGCCCCCCCCCCCCGATTCGAAAATCCTCTCCCCCGTCTTGGCGTCAACAGAACGAGCTCTTTCGGACAGCCACAGAATGCCCCCCGACGGCCCAGGACGGCCCCAAGAGAGCCCCAAGCTGGCCCAAGAGGATACCCAGAGGGACCCTGGATGGTCTTAGAAAGCCACTCTTCTTCCCGAAAAACGGCACGACCGCCAAGAGGGCCCAAAGACGGCCCAAGAAAACCTGAAGACTGCCAGAGAGAGCCTCAAGAGACGGCCCAAGAGGGCCCCAGGACGCCCCGAAGTGGCCCAAGGGACACCCAAGACTGTCCCCCGCAAAAGCCTGAAAAGGCAAACCCACTCGCGCCACACACCTGCGCACGCCGTCAGCACGACCCCTGTCCTTCATTCCGCCCTCCCCTGTCTAGGGCAACAGAAGATCAGATACGTACCGACGCAGCTGCTCTCTGGATCTCGCCAAGGTCGCGCTCTGGGCCTTCGGCGGAGCTCCCCATGGGGCCCGAAACGTGTGAGGGGTGCCATGCGGGCGCTGCTGCTGGGGCTTTAAGTCGAGCTCCCTCTGCGGACATGAAACGTATGAGCGGCGTGCCGAAGAAGAGGTATTCCGCGGCGGACCCAGCCGTGCTGACGAGCGGAGGAGGGCGGCATCGGCAATCACCTCTCTCCCCCCCTGACTGTCCTTCATGGCGACCCACCCACACTTTAAAGGGGAAACGCTAGGGGGGGACAGCTCGGGCGGGGGGAAGATTGACCCGGAGTCGGCGACAAGCCGCCAATAGATCATCGATCTAATTCAGATCGATACTGGGCCCCAGGGAGCAAAATCGCACGTTCCTGAGAGGGGCGGGACATTCGCCGATGATCGGGCGATTCGATTTGGACGCCCGAAATGGGTACGGAAAGAATGGGTACAATGCCCAACGGCAAATGTTGTCCCAAACCGACAGGTGCCGCTGGTGGGCAGGCGGCCTTCTGTCTCAAATGGACACGGGCCGCGGCGGCGCGGACAGCGAGTCCTGTCCAAACTGAACAGGATCCGCTGTTGGGCATCGTACCCATTCTTTCCGTGCCCACCTCGCTCGTGCAGATTGGAGGTCGATGCCTTCCCCCCCGAGCACTGCCCCCCGCCCAACGCTGCCCCTGGCTGCGGGGTCGTCGCTCGGCTCCCCAGCGGCCGCCAAGGGAGGGCCGCCGTTGGAGGGGGCACCCCGCGGCCGGAGAACTGCCCGGGAACCTCTGCCCTTCCCTCCGCGAGCCGCTCCCCGCCCCGGCAGTGCCCCCGACCCCCTCCCGAAGCAAACGCGCCGCGTCCCGCGCCGGCCGCCCGAGGAGGGCTGCGGACCAAAACGGGGCACGATGCCCAGCCAGCAGCAGTTTGTTGACTCGAGGGTCGAGAGCGCGCCTCTTCCGGTGGAAGCTGAGCGGGCCGCGCGAGGCGTGAGTTCACCAGAGATGGGGGAGGAAAAGGGGGGCGCAGCCTCAGAACGAGGCCGGGAGGAGGCAACGCCTCGGGATCAGGCGGTGCCGTAGCCGACGTACTTGCAAAGGAGCGCCTTTTCCATGAACCCAGCGGCGGAGTACCGGTTGAAGATGCCCAGCAACAGCCGTTGTCCGAAACCCGCAGCGGCCGCTGTGGAGCAGGCGGCCGTCTGCCTCAAGCGGACACCGCCCGCAGCGGTACGGACAAAGAAGTGGTTTGAACATTTGGTGTGAGTACGTGAAAGATGGTGAGATCGACAACGAGTTCCATAGCGCGATCGATAGTGAGATCGATAGTGAGATCGGTCACACTCCATCGATCGATCGAACCCGTAACCAAAAACCGGGGAACCCCGCGATTGGGAATGCGGAACCAAGAACCCGGGAACTAAGAACCCGGAACCGGGAACCCGGGAACCTGGAACCGGGAACCCGGGAATCCAGCAAGATCCGCTAGGACCCCTTCACTGCAACCACGGATTAGGGAAAATGGTACTATGTACTATGTGTCCTCCTTGGAGACGTACGACCGACCCGAAGATATCGTATAGTCATCTTGTAGTAGATCGTTTCTAGAGCGGCATGGCCAGAAAGCGCCCACCGCAGAACTTCTACTACAAGAGTTCTCGGCGCGCGCGCGTCGCCCCTGCGGGGGCGACGCACATGAAGTACTTCGTATGCCGGGGTGACGCCGAACTGCTGTCGGTCTTCGTCACGAATCTTTCCGTACACGTTACGGTCCTCCAGGCTGATCCTTCCGGACAAAAGAAAGCATTGCATCTGGAAGAAGATAAAACGCCATAAACATACACTTTTGGCGCTCCGCGCGGACTGCTTGGATCTAAGCTGGGCCCCCCCTCCCTGGCGCGCACAGCGCGTCCGGGGCGGCGCCGGAGGCGACGCGGGGGGGGACCGAGCGCGGATTCAAGAAAATTCGCGCCGAACGCCAAAAGTCAATGTTTATGCCGTCCTTTTTCTTCGATGATCCTGACTACCTTCCAGACCACCTCGACCCAACCCGAAGACCCCGATTTCGCGATTTCGGGGGTACGGGTTCTATGTGTGCTTTTACAAACAAACTCCCCGAAAATGGAGGGCAAGCTGAAGCCTTCGGGTTGGATTGGAGTGATTTGGTGGGTGGTGATTTTCGGGGATCTTCTGACCTGGGTCAATCCAGACCCCGGTCAGCAGGAGACCAAAAACTGCAATGCAGGAGAAGAAAAACTGCAGCGCAGACCTTCGCCAACCCGGGTCGGCCAACGGGCGCGGCCCCCTCGCGGCCACGGGACCGGCTCGCCCAAACCCGGGTCAGCCCGAGGGGGTCTCCGCAGGCTCCTGCAGGATCTGGCGCCCTGGGCGGACCCCCGTCTGCATTGACCCCCGACTCGAGGCTCCCGATTCCTTCTTCGAAGATCCTCCCCAGCAGAGGAACAAAAAAAACAAAAAAAAAAAAAACATACATACATATATATATATATATAAGAGAAACAAACAACAAAAAAAAAAAAAAAAAAAAAAAAAAAAACGCCCCGTCCTGAGCGCGGGCGTCCGCGCCGCGCCCCCCGCGCCGCGCGGCGCGGCCGAGGCCGCGCTCGGCGCCGCGCCCGCGCCCGGCCGCTGGCGGCGGATGGGCGAGGGCAGCGGGCCGGCCTGGCGGGGGGTGCGCCGGCCCCTCCTCCGCAGCCGCCTGGCATCAGGTCGGGCACGTCCCCCTACACGAAAAATACAAAATACCTAAAACATAATCCAAAAATAATCCAACAATGCTCTGAGGGCTCTGAGGACTATGTTTTGAATATTTGTTGACCTTTTGGGGGTATTGTTTGAATATTTTCTGACCTCCACCAAGCCTGGCGCCAAGATGTCGCTCTCAGCGCGCCACATACACCCGCGGCCCGTCCCACGGGCCTCCAAGGACCCAGTCCAGCCACACGCCGAAGGAGTCCTCCCCCCACAGGGGGATTTTCGACGAAAAATAAAAAATACACCAAAAATACTCCAAGAATTGTCCAAAAATACTTAGAGGACTATCTTTTGAGTATTTTGTTTACCTTTTTGGTGTATTTTTGGGGTATCTGTTATTTTTCGTCGAAAATGCCCCTGTAGGGGACAAGCCGGACTTAAGCCTGGCATCATGTCGGACATGTCCTCCTACAAGCAGAGTTTGGAAGAGAGATTAAATCAAAGAGGCACCAAAAGTGCAGGAACAAATCAAAAAACAGTTTTCAAAACATGTCCCCGACTTTTTCTATTCTATTCCCCAACCATCCTGTGGTGTGTGGTCCTCGTTTTGAAGAGACGGTCCCCGCGTTCCTCCCCTCCTCCTCCTCCCCCCCCTCCCTCCTCCCTGCGTTTCACCCACCCAGTACAGCGTTCCGTGGCCCCATACGGAGCCCCACCGAACCTCCCAGTGCTACCGTCCGCATGCGTCCCCCCCACCCAGCACAGCGTTTCGTGGCCCCCTCCTCCCTCCTCCCTGCGTTTCACCCACCCTGTACAACGCTTCGTGGCCCCATAAGGAGCCCCACCGAAGGTCCCAGTGCTACTCCCCCCGGGCTTTCACCCACCCAGCACAACGCTTCGTGACCCCATAAGGAGCTCCACCGACGGCCCCAGCGCTACCGCCCGTATGCGTTCTCCCCTCACCCATTACAGCGCTTCGTGGCCCCATAGGGAGCTTCACCGAAGAAGATATTCACAATTGCGGTACCCACAACCGCATATGTCGGGGATGGACAGACCCCCCTTTAGTAAAACGTGGTTTAGTGAAACCGACCTGAGGCCCAAACCTGGCGGGCGCAAGCCTGGAACAAAAATGGCCACGGCGCCCTCTCGAGAACCGAAAACGGAAAATTCACGAATCGACGTGTCACTGTTGGGGGTTCTGTCCACCCCCGAATATGGTTGGGTCCTTCGCCAAGAAAATGTTGAATCTTGGGACGTGCCCGACTGGCTCCTGGCCATGCGTCACGTGGGCGGACTGTCCCTGTGGGGCGCGTCAGCACTCCCGCGTGCTCCATGCTGGCCCGCTCTTCGCGCACTTCTCGAATGCTTCAACTGAGGAGCCCAAGGCCATAAAGCCAGAGTGGAGTCTCGTCTTCCACTTCCTCGGCATCCCTCCATCCTTCTCGTCTGCCTCCATCCTCCGCAACCGCCTGACGCTCGAAGGACAACAAAGAAACTGCATAAACATAAACTCTTGGCGCTCCGCGCGGATTTCTTGGATCTGCGCTGGAGCGCCCTGGCGGCGCCTCCGGCGACGCTCCCGGCGCGCTCCACGCGCTGGGGAGGGGGGTCTGGCGCGGATCCAAGAAATCCGCGCGCACCCCCAAAAGCTGATGTTTAGGTCCAGGATGTCCCCTACAGGAGGAGTTTGGATGACAAATAACAAATAATTGAACAATATTCGAACACGGTCAAAAAATAATGAACGAAATCGTCCCCAGACTACTTTTCCCAACCGTCCTGTGGTGTTGGGTCCTCGTTTTGAAGAGACGGTCCCCGCGTTCCTCCTCATTCCTCCTCTGCCCCTCCTTCCTGTTCCCTGCGTTTGACCGACCCAGTGCAGCTTTCCGTGGCCACATGGGGAGCTCCACCGCTCCATGGCAGCACCGCCGAAACCCAAGAAACCCGGGGCACCCTGGAGGCCAGCAGGGTGTCTCTCGGCATGGGTCTCCGCTGCATCGCTCCTGTGCGGCCACCCTGCTCGGAATCAAAGGCCTGGCCCTGGACAGGCGCGGTGTGCAGACCCGCCCTCCGTGGCTTCGAGAACGACGGGAGCACACTCTATATTCTCGTCTGGAGGACGGCGAAAGCAAACTCTACGGTGGAGGCCAGTCCACACGAAAGCTCCCGCAAGAAACCCAACCCTGAGACCCCAGGACGCCCACTGAGTTTTGGTGTGGGAGTGCCACGCTGTCCGTCGCAGAACCATCGAAACCCAAGAAACCCGGGGCACCCTGGAGGCAAGCGGGGTGCTTCTTGGCATGGGCTCCCACGGTGTTCTCGTCGTTCTTGGTCCCGCTCACGGCAGAAGCATAAACATACACGCTCGAAACTCTGGGCGGATTCTCGGACCAGAACCTCGGGACCCCCTCCCTGGCGCGCGGAGCGCGCCAGGGGCAGCGCCAGAGGCGCCGCCAGTGAGGCCGAGCGTCGGAACAGGAAACCCGCGCGGAGCTCCGAAAGTGAATGACTATGCCGTTTCTTTCTCGACTTCGTCGGGCGCGGCCTAGCCGACCCCTAGCAAACCATCCCCTTCTGTGACGCCACACTCGCCCTTCCAGCTTCCCTCCGGCCGCATACATGCACGCCTTGGGGCGAGGCGAGGGGGACGTCACAGAAGGGAATGGTTTTGCTAGGGGTCGGCCGCCCCTGACCTCTGTGCACCTGTGAGGCAGAAGGGCAGCAGGAGGAGCACGGGGAGAAGGAGGAGGAGGAGGAGGAGGAGGAGGCACGGGGGGGAGCGCCGCTCCCCGCCTCCCCGGCGGCGTCGCCCCCGAGGGCGAAGGCGCCGGCGGCGGTGCCGCCCGCAGCGGCGGCGGCGCCACCAAGGTGCGCGAACGCGCTCGCGACCCAGTACGGCTCGAAGTCCGCTGCCAAGGACGCCCCGTCTCCTGAGGCGGACGGCCGCCCAAACACACACGCTCGCCTCGCAGCACGAAGCGCCGCGTCGGGGAGCCTGTGCCGTGCTTCCGGGGCCGTCAGGAGCCACCCCGAGATGATCGGGAGCGGCCAAGAGGGGGGTGTCCAAGAGGGGGGGTGCAAATCATGACCGGCGGCATGTGCGCGGCCCAGCGGGGGGGCCGGGAACGTAATGAAATTAGAAGAGGCGCCACGAGATCTGGGGAGATATCATGGCCCCCGCCATGCTATCCACCCCCCCCCCTAGTCATCACCCCCCTCTTTTCCGCCCCCGAGATGGCAAGCCGGCGAACGGGGGCCAGGGCCGGGACTCACTGACCAGGGCCCGTGCAGGCCCGGGCCAGTCGGGCCCTGCAGGATCCTGCGAGAATCCTCCGAGAGCCCGCGGGACCCGGCACGCCGAGCCTGGGCCAGTGCGGCGCCCCCCTGGCCCTGCAGGATGCCTGGCCCCCGTTTGCATGGACCCCCTGTCTGCTGAGCCGAGGGGGCTGGTCTTGGGGAACGCCCCAGGGGCCCAGGACTCTCGGGTCGGGCGAAAGGGGGGGATAGCAACGGGGGGGGGTGAGAATCAGCTCACGTGGCTGATGTCCCCAGCGCCTCCCGGCGCCGGGAGGCGCCCATGTATCGGGGAATGGGCCCCTCGGCGAGGCCGAAACCAGCTGCATGCAGCAAATTTCGTAACCCCCCCTTCCCAGTCCCCCCCTTTCGCCCAGCCCGAGAAGAGGAGCAGGGACGGGACGGCCCCCCCGCCCCGCCGGGGGACCGTGGTCCTGCCGGGGGGGGCTCGGGCAGCGCCTTCTCCTCCCGGAGGCCCCTGACCCTTTGGGAGGGGACCTACTTACAGGGAAGCTGGAAAAAGTGGACGTTGGAAAATCAGTGAAAGTGGAAGTGGCCAGGGCTGGAATAATCGGGAGCGGCCAAGAGGGGGGTGTCCAAGAGGGGGGGGTGCAAATCATGAGTGGCGGCATGTGCGCGGCCCAGCGGGGGGACCAGGGACGTAATGAAACAAGAAGAGGCGCCATGAAATCTGGGGAAATATCATGGCCCCCGCCATGATATCCACCCCCCCCTAGTCATCACCCCCCTCTTTTCCGCCCCCGAAATAATTGGCAGTGGGTGAAGCGAGCCCGAAACAGTAGGAATGCGGCCGCCAGGGCTGGAACAAAAAAAGAGCTGACCAGGGCTGGAAGGAGTGGAAGGGCTGGCCCCAGTCACTTTTTCCAGCTTCCACGCAGGCCAGGAGGGCCAGGACCATGAAGGATAAGGGTTCCTTTCTGCAGGTGTATCGAGCTCAACCGCCCACACTTATCATCTCTGACGCGAAGACGGGGACCTCTGTGAGGCTGCGTCTTCATCGTGTTATTAGGGTTGGGGGTTCTTTCATCCTCAATGACCTCACGCTCTTCGCGTTGATCTTTGCCCGAAAACCACCCCAGGAGGAGAGGCCGGCGAACCGGGGCTGGGGAAGGGGCGCGTAGACCTCCGAGGATCGGCGCTGTGGACAAGAATCATGGCCTCGGGGTCGGCCGATGCGGTCACGCACACAGATGAGGAGGCAGGGAAAGAGCCTAAGGCCTTGGAACGAACCTCGCTGATATCCCATCCCACCCCAGTATTCCCCTTTCTGAGCCTCCTGGGAGGCCCTCGTCGGCACCGCTGGATTTATCTTGAAATTCTGGTCAGATAGCGCCCCGGGAGAGGTCTGGGGAGCAATGACATCGGTACGTGAGCGTTTTCGTATTCGGCGTTTCGAAATTGGGCGGTGGGGGGGGAGAGGGGGAGGTCTGGCTCCGGACCTGTGCTTCATGCGACTGTTTGCAGCACTGCGCCCTGTGGGCGAGGCTCCACCTGCCTGAAACAGGCGCCCCGAATCAACCAAGATCTACTCAAAGGGGGGTGGGACGGAGGGGGTGCGAGGGCCCGCGCCGATCGGCAAAACAACGCATAAGAAAACGATCACTGCCTGAGGCCCTGATGAACATCAGATGGACAGACCCGACGCGGCACGGCGCATCATACCGCGTGCGCACTGCGGCTCGTCACTACTGCGGAACGGGAAAATTACCACAACCACTGCTTCTTGTTTGCGCCGCCTTCCAGCCGGCCGAAAAAGAAGCAGTGGTTGTGGCCAGTTCCCTGGTGCAAAGCTCAACGAAAATTACCACAACCACTGCTCTGTTTCTGCGGGCTGGAAGGCGGCAACAACAGAAAAGCAAGGGCTGTGGTCGTGTTCACGCCCCGTAACTGCGCACGGCGCGGCGTGACTCCGAATCTCGAGCTGGGCCCGCGACGCGCCCAGGCGTGGGCCGACAGGGCAAAAGGATCCGTGTGCTCGGTCGGGCGACGAGGAGGAGGAGGAGGAGGAGGAGGAGGAGGAGGAGGAGGAGCAGGAGGAGGAGGAGGGAGGAGGAGGAGGAGGAGGGGCAGGCTGGGCCCGCGACGCGCCCAGGCGTGGGCCGACAGGGCAAAAAAGGACCCGTGTGTGCTCGGTCGGGCGACGAAGAGCGTCGACGACGGGCGCACGAGGGCAGATGGGCCCCGTCGCACCGCGGGACACTCTCCGCAGACCGAGCGAGCGAAACCTGTCGGAGGAGGAGGAGGAGGAGGAGGAGGAGGAGGGGGAGGAGGAGGAGGAGGAGGAGGAGGAGGAGGAGGAGGAGGAGGAGGAGGAGGAGGAGGAGGCCTGAAGGGGCGAGCGGGGAAGTGCTCCTCGGCCGAACGAGGACACCCTTTCCGGGGGGCGCTCGGGCAGTTTCCTCCGCCGAGGCAGGACCTCTGCGGACGCTGGAGGAGGGAGAGAGGCTCCTGTCGGCCACCTCTGGCCGCCACGGAGCACTGGCAGCGCCTTCGAGCCTTGGGGCCCTCGTCTCGGTATAGATCACCGGGGGCCTTGGCTACCCTAGGCCCTACCCAAGGCCCTAGGCTTCCCAAGGGTAGGCCCTACCCAAGGCCCTAGGCTTCCCAAGGGTAGGCCCTACCCAAGGCCCTAGGCTTCCCAAGGGTAGGCCCTACCCAAGGCCCTAGGCTTCCCAAGGGGCCCTAGGCCCTAGGCTTCCCAAGGGTAGGCCCTACCCAAGGCCCTAGGCTTCCCAAGGGTAGGCCCTACCCAAGGCCCTAGGCTTCCCAAGGGTAGGCCCTACCCAAGGCCCTAGGCTTCCCAAGGGGTAGCCCTAGGGTAGCCCTAGGGGTGGGCCCCAGGGGTAGCCGGACCCCTTTGTAGCGGGAATCCGAGCCGGCAGCATCCCTCCTCCCTCCTCCCTCCGCACGCCTCCTCCCTCCTCACTCCGTCCGCCCGCCTCCTCCCTCCCCCCTGCTCCCGCCGCCTCCTCCTCCTCCGCCGCCACCTCCTCCTCCTCCTCCTCCTCCTCCTCCTCCTCCTCCTCCACCTCCTCCTCCTCCCTCGCTACTCCCTCGATCCCCTGCTTCCCCCCCCCCCGCTCCCCCTTCCGAGGGCAGGGCGCCCGCGCCGCCCCCCGGCGACCGCGGCCCCGGCGCCGCAGACCCCCCCTCGCAGACCCCCCCTCTGGGACCCCCCCTCGCTGACCCCCCCTCGCAGACCCCCCCTCGCTGACCCCCCCTCGCTGACCCCCCCTCGCTGACCCCCCCTCGCTGACCCCCCCTCTGGGACCCCCCCTCGACCCCCCCCCCCCCCTCTACCCCCCCTCCCCCCCGCTGGCAGACCCCCCCTCGCAGACCCCCCCTCTGGGACCCCCCTCGCTGACCCCCCCTCTGGGACCCCCCTCACAGACCCCCCCTCGCTGACCCCCCCTCGCAGACCCCCCCTCGCTGACCCCCCCTCGCTGACCCCCCCTCGCTGACCCCCCCTCGCTGACCCCCCCTCACAGACCCCCCCTCACCGGTCTATCCTAGGGTTGATGCCTTTAGTCGGGCGGGCGGGCGGGACATTAAAGGCATTGATTGCTTGCTTGTGTGGTGGATTACCAATTGCTTCCCGTTGGTACCGGATTACGAGTAGATTCCATTTGTGGCGGATTACAAGCTGATTCCTTTTGTCGGGCGGGCGGGCGGGACATTAAAGGCATTGATTGCTTGTGTGGCGGGCGGGCGGGCGGGACATTAAAGGCAAACTGATTCTTATTGTGGTCACATTAAAGGCATTGATTGCATGGCATTGTGGCAGATTCACATTGATTCCTTTTGTCTGGCGGGCGGGCGGGACATTAAAGGCAATGATTGCTTGTTTGGTGAATTGCGAATGGATTCCCTTTGGCAGCGGATTTTCAACTTATTCCTTTGGTCGGGCGCCTTTTGCCGGGCGGGCGGGCGGGACATTGAAGGCAATAATTGCTTGTGTGGTGAATTACACATGGATTCCCTTTGGCAGCGGATTGCAAACTTATTCCTTTGGTCGGGCGGGCGGGCGGGACATTAAATGCATTGATTGCTTTCGTGGCGGATTACAAAGTGATTCCATTTGGCAGCGGATTGCAAGTTGATTACTATTATGGCGGATTACAAGCTGATTCCTTTTGTCGGGCGGGCGGGCGGGACATTAAAGGCATTGCTTGCTTGTGGCGGATTACACATACTGAAGGCCCTAGGCTTCCCAAGGATTGGCCCTACTGGACACCCTAGGGTAGCCCTAGGGTAGCCCTAGGGTACCCCTAGGGGTAGGCCCCAGAGGTAGCCCTAGGGTAGCCCTAGGGGTAGGCCCTAGGGTAGCCCTAGGGTAGCCCTAGGGGTAGGCCCTAGGGGTAGCCCTAGGGTAGCCCTAGGGGTAGGCCCTAGGGGTAGCCCCAGGGTAGCCCTAGGGGTAGGCCCTAGGGTAGCCCTAGGGTAGCCCTAGGGGTAGGCCCTAGGGGTAGCCCTAGGGTAGCCCCAGGGGTAGGCCTAGGGGTAGCCCTAGGGTAGCCCTTCCTTGGGTGATCTATAAGCTCGTCTCGGCAGCACCGCCGAACACCGCAGGCCCGTGAGAAACGAGCCCTGTACACGCACCCGTTTCTCTAGACCC